CCGTCGTCGCCTCCGTCATATTCGTCGTCGTCTTCGTCGCCGTCGTCGTCGTCGTCGTCACCGTTGTCGTAGTCGTGCTTGCCGAAGTCGTCGTCGTCGTCGCCGCCGTTGCCGCCGTCGTCGTCGTCGTCGCCGTCGTGACAATCGTCGTCGGCGTCGTCGTCGTCGAGGTCGTCGGCACAGTCGTCGTCGCCGTCGTCGTCGACGTCGTCATCGGCGTCTTCGTCAGCTTCGTCACCGTCGTCGTTGTGCTTGCCGTCGTTGTCGCCGTCGTCGTCGTCGGTCGTCGTCGTCGCCGTCGTCGACGTCGTTGGTCGTCGTCGTCGCCGTGGTCGTCGTCGTCGTCGTTGGTCGTCGCCGTCGTCGCCGTCGTCGTCGTCGTGCTCGTCGTCGTTGCAGTCGTCGTCGTCGTCGCCATCGTCGTCGTCGTCGCCGTCGTCGCCGTCGCCATCATCATCGTCGTCGTCGTCGCCGCCGCCGCCGCCGGCACCCGGCGCCGGCGTCCGCGCCGGCCCGGAGGAAAGGTTGGGGGTTCGAAGCCCATCTTCCACATTGAATCGTCGTTCTCGCCGACGCTTCCCGCCGTCGACAGCCGCCGCGGGCGCCGACAGCCGCCCCCGGCGCCGGGGCCAGACTGGGAATGGGAAGGGAGCCGGCGCCGGCGCCGTCGCAGGCCCCGGGGGGAGGGGGGGGTCGAACCGCCCCCCTGCTTGAAGCAAGGGGGGGGGCCCGGGGGTTCCCAGAACGCGCTCTTTCGAAATTATCTATCAGCCGATCAGGGGTGAATCGATTGACAGTCCTTCTAGGCACTGAGGCGAAGAACACAACTCGTCGGATAGCTCAGAAATGTTTGCAAGCACCGCGAATGTGAAAATTGTCGATCGCATCCACGCCTCGAGTGTTGCTGTAACCTCGTCAACGCGGGAATATGTTTCAACAAGACGTTGATGACGTCTTTGATCCAGCTGCACGCAGGAGAGGCGCTAGGCAAGAATGACCTTTCGAGTGTGGCTTCAGGGGGCCGAGGGGGGGCGGGCGAGGGGGGTTGAATCCACGCGCGCCAGCCAGAGATGGGAGGAGTCCAATGGATTGTTCCTGTGTGTCAACATCGGCTGAGGGACACGCTGGTTGGTTTCATTACCTAACTGTAAACTTGACCGTCTGGTTCCGGTGGGTGGATTTAACATAGCGAAGCAGATCACTCGGCGGTACGACGTGCTTTCCTGTATTGGAAGGACTTGCTTGATTTGGTGCGGACATGCGGCAGTTCCCGCCCTTGCCCGAAAGACCTCAACTTGCCCGCGAGGATAGTTATCCGCAACATGTGCCCACTCAGTAGCAACACTATAGAACCACATAACGGGGAACCCCGAGTATCGAAGGACGCTTCTGCGCTGATGAGGTCATCGATCCGCTCGGATCCAACACCTCGTTCGAAGACCGCGCACACGCACTGTCGCACAATATTAGCCGGGTTAACACTTCAGCGCGAGCAAGAACAGGAGAAGGAGGGCGAAGAGTCGTCCAGTAGGAGCAGGAGAGGGATGAGGGGGAGAAGAGGAACAAAAGCAGGAGGGGGGCAGATGAGGAGGAGCGAAGGCCCCTGCTCAGGGCTTCAGGAACACGATTGGGACGAAGTCCGCAGCGTCCGCCGCCGCGCGCCCGCGGCCCAACCCGCGCGAAGAGGGCGCGCGCAGCGCCCACCGCCATCCCCCATATCCTGTTCCATTTCCTGCTCCCGCTCCTCTCCTCCTCCTCCTCCTCCGCAGCAGCAGAAACAGGGGGCCTCAAGCAGAGCCATGGCGACTGGCCGAAAGTGGGAGGCGTCCCGCGTCCCACGGCACGGCCAGACCAGCAAGCCAGCGACCCCCACCCGCTCGAACCCGAGGGCGACAGTGCGGCGGCAGTGCAGTCCGCGGCAAGCGCATCGGAGGCTGGGTGTGGGAGACGGGCGGGGCTTTCCCTCGCCATCTCCGGTTCCTGATCCTTTTTGTTCCTCATCCTCTTCCTCCTGGTGCTCGTGCTCCTCCTGGTCATGCTTCTCCTGTTCATCCGCCATATGTTTCACCAGTTCCTCCTCCACCCCCTGCTCCCCATCCACATCCTGCATTCATTGCCCACCCTTTCCCCCTCGTCCATTTCCTCCACTCGCGCCACGGGTCAGGACGCCCCCAATCCGCATCGACGCATGGGGGCTCAGCTGGAGGCCGTTTTCGAACCAACTTGGGCCGTTTTGGGGCCTTCCACGCCGCCATGGTGGTCCTGGGCAGGCTGTGCTGCCAGGCGGAAGAGGACGAAGAGGGGAGAAGTCGGCAGGCGACGACGAACGCGCAGGCGGGAGGCCAGGGCCGGCGGGGCGGGCGGGCAGATGGAATAGGGGCCAGGCTGAGACATCAGGCAGGGAGCAGGAGGGAAGGAGAGGGACGGAAGCCAGGAAGAGAAGGAGAGGGGAAGCAACCGCAAGCAGACAGGCCGGGCCAGGGGCAGGGAAAGAAGGCCCTCCCGCGACGAAGCTACGGCGGCACCGACGAGGCGGCGCAGGCGTAGCGGTGGAGGGGGCGGTGGGCGTCGGGGGGGGGGCGTTGGCAGTCGTCTGGAAAGGCCGTCGAGTCGGGGTCGTCCCAAGGCGGCAGTGCAGGGTGCAGGAGTGGCTGGCGGTCGTCGGGTTCGTCGTCGGGCTCGTCGGGCTGGATTGGGGCTGGGCGACAGGCAGGGCGCGGGGCTGGGCGTCGGGGGCGGCGTCGGGGAGGTGGTCGGGGTCGTTATGGAGTGCCCGGCCGAGCCCAACACGCTGCGGCTTGGTGGGGGTTGCCATCAGCGGGATCCATCCGCCGCCCCGCCGAAGAATGGGCGGCCGGCGGAGGAGCGCGGTGGGGGGGGCGCGCGTGCTGCCCAGCGAGGGTGAAGGGGGCGGGCGGGGGGCGCAAAGCAGCGCCGGGAAAACCTCACACGGCGTCCACCGCGGGGGCCGCCGTGCCCGCGGCCGAACAGACCGCGGCCACCCCCCGCCCCTCCAGACTGCGTCTGGAGGCGGAGGCGCCGCAACACCCACCGCCCGCGCGTTCTCCCTACGCAGGGAGATCGAGAGTCGCTGGGCGTGATGCTCCGCTACCACAGCGGCGCCTTCCCCCGTGGCGTCGGCCACCCGCTTGGCCAGGACCCTGAAAGCCCTGCGCGCCTCGCGGCCCCACCCGCCGCCGTGGCCTTCCATCACCATGGGGAAGAAGGTGAAGCCCTGCGCAGCGCGCTGCTCTTGAACTCCTCGCACCGCTCCGTCGGCGCACTTGACGAAGCAGCCGAAGCGGCGAGGATATCGGCGCGCGGCGGCAAAGTCCCAGGCCGCCGCGGTGCCGTTGCGCCACCGGGGCAGGTAGACGTCGTCGGCGGAGCGGCGGTCGCTGTCGTCCACCTGGGGCCCACCCTGCTCACCTCCGGGGGTGGCGTCCCTGGCGGGTCGCAGGGGTAGCAGCCCTGGGCGGTCCAACTCCGCCCCAGCATCGCCAGCGGCCACGGCGTCGAAGAAGGCCTGGTTGCGCAAGGCGTTGTGGCACTTGGTCCGGTCGCCGCGGCAGGCGCAGACCAGGGCGTGGTCACAGAAAACGTCAATCACCTCGCAACGCGCTGGGCAAAACACGCTCCTCTTCCAGAAACTGGACTCGCAGCCGCCTCTGCAGGAAACGCTGCGTGAGGCCGTGTGTGGGAAGGCGGTGCCCATGGTCTCGCAGGGCGGCGCCTGGAGCCGCGCGCCGGCGCCTGGGGCCTGCACCAGGGAGAGGTGCGCCTTGCCGGCCAAGGTGGGATCGGCCAGGAGCCCGTCGGACAGGTTCTTCTGGTCGCCGTGCCGTTCGTGGTCAGGAGGCCGTGCTGCAGCTTGCTGCGCAATGCCGTCGGGGTCCCGGAACCCGAGCCACATCAAATGTTCGCGGGCGCGGGCCCGCTGTCGACGACGTGACTAGCAAAAAAGACGACTGCGCCCCAGCGGACGCGCCTCTCTCAGACAACATTTGCCAGGTGCCCCGGCAAGAGCGACATTTCGCCGCGTGCGTGTGGCCATGTGCTAGACCAACACAGGACCTCATGTTTCAGGACACTTACGCGCGGCGCCGAGCCAGCACTAACGCTCGCGCGCGCGGTGTTCGTCACTTCTTCAAATCCTTTCAACACGTCCTAACATGGAAAGGCAAACGTAAATTGTGTATTGCGTTTGGACAACAAGAGGGAACCAACCAGCGTAACCGGGCTGCACAGCTGTGTTCTGGAACTCCGACCTTTCAATGTTCGTCGTTTGTCGTTCGTCCTCTTCCCAAGTCCCCCCCCCCCTCCTCCGACTTCCACCGGGCATGACCTCAGCTGCACTGAGCTCTGCGCCGCAAAATCTGGCCCCCCCTTACCCTCCCGGGGCAGCCCCGCTGAACCCAGCTGACTACCGCCTCCGCTGGACCTCCCAGGAGCCCACGAAAGTGGCGACTGTTGCCCAGTTTACTACGAGGGCGGCACAGAAGAAGAGAAGGAGGAAGAGGAGGGCGGAAGAAGCGAAGGAGACGCGGCCGCAGTGCTCTGTTCAACATGAATACCCAAAGCGTGGGGGTTAGATAAAACAGGGAAAAGAAGGAGAGAGAGAGAGAGAGAGAGAAAGAGAGGGAGATACACAACAAAGCGAACAGAGAACCAACCATCCCCACGCGTTCCGAAACGGTGCCAAAACAACACCAGCCATTCAAACCGGTGAGAGAGAGAGAGAGATTTCAAGCGAACAGGCAGAGAGCGAGTCAGAGTGAGAGAGAGAGAGTTGGAGAGACAGCGAAGTAGAGAAGGAGAAAGAGGGGAATCTACAACAAAGAAAAAGGAACGAACTCCCGACGCGTTCTGAATGAGTGTGAAAATGATGTCAGGAACGAGAGAAAGAGAGAGAGAGAGAGAGAGAGACGGCACCATCAGCACGGGTACGAAACACAAACATTAAGAACCAATAAGCATGTCTTCGCCGCTTTTGTGTAGGATCAGCGCTCACTGTCAAGCTGCGTCAGAAGTGCGCCTAGAGAGAGCACATCGCTGCCATCCATCGCCCGCGACACCTGTCGGCAGGGTAGCACACGCTGTGTTGTCAAAGTCCCAGTGGGGTGCATGACACTCCCATCACCATCCTCTTCTATGTTCTTTTCCACAGATCAAGGAACACACTTGCCCACTGTCCCAATAATTGCAAGAACTTTGGATGGCATGGGCTTCCCGCAAGCCTTGTCTAGGGCAATGGCCGCCGCTCCGAAAACTGAAAACGGCGTGTCTAACAAAATACATGATGCCATCATCGGTGCATACGCCCATTCTCCCGACTGGATGCCCCATGAACCGCTCATTCAAGCGGATGCTGTGCGGTCTCCCACTCGGAGACGTTGCTCTCCCCAGCTTCCACTCGGCTCCCTTCCCCTTTCCCCTCACCTTCCGTCGCCCTCCACCCTACACGTACTGGATATGAGCACTACCCTCGTCGCTTCCCTGATCATACACGTGTGTGCTCACACATCGTTCGCGTATCGACTAGCACGTGTTTTCTGTTGCTCGGTTTGTTACACTGTTCCTGCTCGATCAGACCGTTCTCTGTCCTTCAAAGATGTGGTCCTGCTGCAGTGCTGGCCACAGTTTGCGGTTCAGAGTAGCAATATGACCCCATCGCGGGCCACAATTCATTTCTGGATCCGAGTTCGTCTTCGTCATTGCCGCCTTGTGCTTTCTCTTCTGCCCTGGGCTGGCCATTCTGATCCTGCTTCTCCTCCTAATTTATCCTGCTGCTGCTGCTGCTGCGCCCCGCCCCTTCCTCATCACCTGATTCCTCCTGCTGGTCTCCTGCTCATCCGGCACCTCCTGCTCCTCCAGTGCACAAATCCCCTTTCTCCTGAGTGCGCGTCTAACGATGGAGCCACTCAGGGGATCAATTTCCTCCAGGACACACAACATGGATACAGAAGAAGTCAGCGCAATGGGCGGGTTGGGCGGGAAGGGGTGGATATCAGATGCGGCGCGAGCGCGCCCAGCTTGCCGCAGACTTCCTGCACCTCCCCCGTCCTCCCCCGACTGCCTCCACCTTCCCTCCCCCTTCCCACTCCCCGGCATCTTCTCCAATCCCCCTCTCACGCCTTCCCCTCCGTCAACCAAAACAAGTTCGCCCCGCTTCGATGCCAGATGTTGGGCCGTAAGGCTTGCGACCCACGTAAGGCGTAAGGCACAAACTTCTGCCGTAAAGCTCGTATCGTAAGGCGCAGGCTTGCGAAATAAACGTGTGCCTCGCATCTGCTTCGATCACCCCTTCGAAAGGCATACAAACCGCTCATCCCGACCTCTCCAAAACATGGTGCGGGATATGCCCACCTCCCTTCAATATATAATCAAAAAATCGCCCATCAGCAGGAAACATCCTCACCCCAAGCCAATCGTCGCTCCTCGACTTCTGATCTCCACTCGCCTTCCCGTTGAATCCTGTCCCCCCAAATTACACCATTACCCCTCCCCTTCCCCTTCTCCTACTCCACCCCACCGATCCGTCTCAACTTCGGCTGCACCCATCCGCAGGACACGAAACTCAGCAGGTGGGCGGGAGGCCCCCAAAGTCACGCTGCTGCCCACCAGGGTCCAAGCGGCACTGGGAAATATTGAGCAGGCGTGCGGCAACACAGGCCCTTGGTTGGACTTCCCGAAAACAAGCCCGGGACAAGCGCAAAACACAAAAACAACAAAGAGGGACGAATTGTTCTTTGTTAGCGGTTCAAGACGCGGTCGAGACACCCGAAGGACGCATCGGAGACGAATTGTCAGAACAAAAGAAAGGGGCGCGGGGAGAAGAGGAAATCGCCGGCGGCAGAGCACGCTCAGATTGTGAAGATTGTGTACGTGTGTGCCAGAGCACAGGCACGGCAGCAAACCAAAGCAGGGCAAGACATGTGGCCGTAACAAAGTGCGGCAAACTCACGAGATGTCAGCCCGTTTAACTCCGAGGCGACCGCGCACGTAAGTCATGCGAAGGACGCTTCAGCACAGAGTTCCAGCTAGTAAGGCATACCATGTGCGCTCGACTTGGCTGCAGGAGCGGACGCGTGCGCACCCGTTACAAGTATTGAACGCTTGGTAATCACCCGCGCAGGTGGTCGGTGGCGTTTGGTGTTGGTCGGCGCTGGCGACGTGGTCAGTGGTGAGAAGTGGCGGAGGTGCGCGGCGCGTCCGCTCCAAGGTTCTCCTGAGGCGACCAGCCCAAAGGCCGCCAGGAGCTCGAGACGGCCTCGCGACTCGCACGCATGAGGATGCGGAGGACGAGGCGGAGCAGGCGGAGGAAGAGCGGCAGCAGCAGGAAGAGAAACGCAGGCGAGGGCGGGGAGAGGAACAGGGGGGCCAGCAGCAGCAGGAGCAGAAGCGGAGGGAGGGAGTACAGAAAGATAGACACCTCCCGCGACCAAGTACCCATCCACCCAAGCTCCTCCTCCGCATCCTCCTCTTGTCGACCCTTTCCACGAAGCCCGAGGCACGCAAGACGCCGTCTCGTCCTCGTCCTCCTCCTAAGCGTCTTCGTCCTCGTCCTTGTCCCCCTCGTCGCCCTCATCCTCGTCGACCTCCTCGTCCTCATCCTCCTCCTCCTCTTCCTCCTGTTTCTCCTCCTCTTCCTCCTCCTCCTCGTCGTCCTCGTCCTCTCGTTCTCATCCATATCCTTCGTCCTCGTCCTCGTCCTCGTCCCTCCTCCTCCTCCTCCCCCTCCTCCTCATCCTACTCCTCCCCGTTCTCATCCTCCCCCTCGTCCTCGTCCTCCCCCTCCTCCTCCTCTTCCTCCTCCTCCTCCTCCCCCTCTCCCTTCCTCCTCCTCCTCCTCCTCCTCCTCCTCCTCCTCCTCCTCCTCCTCCTCACTCTCTTAGTCCTCGTCCTCCTCATCCTCGTCCTCGTTCTCCTCGTCGTCTTGCTCATCTTGCCTCCTCCCTCCTCCTCCTCAGCCCCCTCCTTTTCCTCCTCCTCCTCCTCCTCTCCGCCCCCCCCCAACGGCGGACCTGGAGATGGCCCCAACACGCCGTCCAGGCCGGCCCCCCTCGCTGTTTGACACTGCGTATCTCTTCATGTCTCCCCCCGTCAGCTCTCATGAGCATCGTTTCTGGATGTGCATGTGTGGTACGCGGGCGCGCGAAGACGCGTCGAACGCCGTGCAAGCTAAGGCGGGCCGCGCCGAAGCAAGGGGAAAATTGCGAAGCGAGCGGGCTGGTGGAGTTTTTTTGTCGCAGCTGCAGGCGAAGGCGCCAGCGGCGTCACAAGTCAGCTCGGGCTACAAGCAAAACTGAGTAACCTAGCTCGCGCACAAGCGGCTGCAAGACTACCGCCGAGGGACGCTGGGCTGCGCCGAGGGCTGAGGCTGCAGGAGCTGCAAGAGCTGCCAGATGGCCAGGCAAGCGCGCGGTCATCCCAGGGACGAGACCACCAGGAAAGATGAATTGAACTTGTCGCACCAGGCGCCACAGGTCGACGTGCCACGAGCGTGGCGAAGCGCGGGGCTGCATAAACAGACCAGCGTGCGAAGCTGCAGGCCAACGGGGATGATCACACATGGCCGACCAAGAAGGCTGAACCACTCTTCAGCAGACCAGTGGGTCAGAGTCCCATCCAACCAGCGGCAACGGCAGACACAGCCAGGCTGTGGCGGTGGCTGGAAACCAAAGGCCAGGGAAGTGCAAGCACTCTAGCCGGGACTGGTCAAACCGCACGTCACCTGAACGCCAGGGTGCCTCACCCGACTCCACGGGACCATAATGGCTGGTGATTTTTTTTCGCTCGCGAACTACGCGGACAGCCGCGCGCCGTCAGATAAAGTCAAACAAGAAAGAACAACAAAAAAATAGCGAAGCGAAGCGAGGGGTCAAGAATTAGCAGTCCACTTTCGGCGCATGGGGGGGGAGCGGCGCGGGAAAGGAGAAGAGGGAGGAGACGGCGGAAGCAACGGCAGAGGCGACACCAAAAATTATGTACTTCACGCGATGAACCCTCAATCTGGCACGGTCGTGGGCCGTCCGCCCCGCTCTGGCACGGTCGTGGGTCGTCCGCCCCGCTGATCTCGTATTGGGCCGGAGCTTTCCCCGGCTGTGCGGTGGTTTGTCTAAATTTCATATTGTCTTGGTACCCTCCGTCTGGCTCGCGAATGCCAGTGCCTTGTCCACAGAGGTGCTCAACCATGCTACTGGATCTCTGGCTCGCACCCGTAATCATCAGGACTCCCTTGTTGGGCCACGCTGGGTATGCTGTCCAGGATCACAATGCGTGCCTGATACAGCGGTCTGTGTGGTTCTCGGGCTCTTTGACTCATATTCTGCATCGCTTCCAGGTCGGAGGGCTCTTCGTTAGCACGCCCCTGCATGTGTCGCCACCACAACTGACTAGGACTCGCTGCTGCGTTCAGGGGCTCGTAATGCAAGTTGGACCTACGTCGCATGAATACGTTGAGAGAAACTGGCCGCCACAAACACATCTGAGAATTGGTGGGATCGCTCACGACGTCGCCCTCGCCACCAAACAGCTCGCCTTCGACCTGTCTGCTGCGGGTTGAACGAAACATCTGCAGGGAAGGCCGGTACACCGAACCTAGTCGTAAAGCTGTCACTGGCCGATCGTGAACCAATGGAACTGGCTGATCTATAGCTCGATGATGACGAGCCAGTTCTCGAGGGACACTTGTCGCAGCTCGCAGCGTGGGCTTCCAAAAACAAGTTCCGCTGCTGGACGAATCTAGGAATGCGCGGCCTTGCTCACAGCGAGGCGTCGTAGCCGTCGGCGCCGTTTCTGAGATCGGCTCAAACCGCCAATTTTTCGGAGCCCGAACGCTGGCAGGGCTGCACCATTGAATGGGCCGTGCGCCGAGCGGGACACGGGAGGCGGCGAAGAACAACTTGAACCCTCCCTCTTGAGCCACTTACGGGTTAGGGCCACATGGGCGTGGACAGGCAACACGCACGCACATGTTCCTATACACATGGTTGCGGCGGGCATTCCTGGTGGAAGATCACGCGGACGCCCGACGGATGGAAGCGCCTACCTGTGCGTGAACTGAATGGGCATTTGGCGGCGTTGAGACGAAGCGGCCTTGCGGGCGAATGTGGGCCTGGAGTGGAGGTTGGCAACTGACATCTGGGGCAACTGTTGGTAATAAAGGCAGTATAAACAAGAGGGTCTGCCATGATTAAGAGCGTGATCGGAAAGTGTGTGTGTGTTCAGCACATTGAGGTATCTGGATTGTTTCCACTCAAGTATGTGCTTGCTTGCCAGAGCATTCTGGAAAGGGACGGAGAGGGATGGAGGTAGGAGGCAGGAAGGGAGAGGGGGAAGGAGAAGATGGATGAGGGAGGTGGGGTGGGGGGGGGGGGGCGAAGGCGAGCGCAGAAATCTTGATCGGGGAGGCTCCCTAGGCAAGCCATATGGAGGGTGGCTCGCACATAAACGCATCCCCATGGTCCCCTGATGTGACTGGCTAGCCAAGGGTACGAGATGCCATGGTCTGCCAGAGCCCTCCTCCTCCTCATCCTCCTACTCCTCCAAGGCGTGCGACCTCGACCACCAGCAAGCGGTCGACTGCCTCAGGCGGGCCAGCCTCTCGGGGTGAAGGCTGGCAAAAAGGGCTTACATGGCAGTTGCCAGCAGGGAGGAGGCGGAGACAGAGGCACGCAAAGACAGAAACCCTGCTCATTTGCAATCTCCTCTCCCTTCAAGACGTCATGGACTCCTCTCGCCCTCCCTCACCATCATTGCCGTCATGTTGGTGCGTCCGCGTGCACCAGCTACGAACAAATACGCATGCTCTTTGGGAGATCGCGCTCAAGCTGTATAAAGCGATTTGTTGTGTATACATAGAGAGAGAGAGAGACACACAGAAAAAGAGAGAGAGAGAGAGAAGGATAAAGAGAGGGGGGGAGTGATAGAGAACGACAATATAAAGATAGTGCGAGAGATAGAGCGAGAGGCGGTGTAACTGTTCTTGGTTGAGCGATTCCGGCAGGCGATTGACATCATTCTGGGCCGGATGTAGCTGGGCATCACGGTGGACGCGCGCCCCTTTTTCGCTTCATTCGCTTCGAATGCCATCTATTCCTGTTGCCGAATGTGTCTGAGCATAGGTGATGGGAAACGACAGCTGCAGACAAAGGCTCTTCGCCCTCTGGCGTGCGGGCGATGTTGCGCAAACGACAACATCCAGAACACCTTCTGTACAGTAGCGGAAACGGCCCATCTACGTACGTGAAACCATATCCTCACCCGCACTCTCCCCCTCCTCATCCTCCTCCCTCATACCCCTGCTTCTGTACTAATCGATATGACGGGAAAGCCTATAATATACAAATCCGCCGACCCCTTGTGGGTCTCTAGGCGTGTGAGACTATCCCCCATCCATCATCCCCTCCCCCCCCATGGACCCCAAACCGGCAATTTGACGCCCACCCCCTGGCCCGGGACGGCCCTGGACCGAACGCGCCATGGGGGAGCGGAGGGCTCCAAAACGGGCAAAGAGCCACCAGAACGCGCCCAAGACGATCCCAGAGGGCCACGAGCCACCGAAAGATCGTTCCTAGACGCCCACGGTGGCATCGAAACACCCTCCGAATCTGTCGAAACGCCCCAAAAGCCCTCCAAAATGCGTCCTGAGAGGGTCCCTTGTTGGGAAAAGAAGAACATTTTCGCATACTCGCGTTTTCGGCTTCCACAACGTCCAAGACGGGCAACGAAACCTTCAATATCGCCCGCGGGCGGCCGAGGGGCTCCCAAAAGGGGTCGAAGAGGGTCCAACAACAAGCCGCGAAACCCCCAAGACAGCCCAAGACGGCTCCAAGAGGGAATCCAGAGGGCACCATTTTGAGCCTTCGGCCCCAAGACGCCCCCAGCCTGCCACAAAAAACCCAAAAAGCCCTTGAGGGACCCCCCCAGAAGAATTTCAAAGGCCTCAAAGATACCCCAGGCAACCCCCAAGAGGCCCCAAAACTACCTGCAAGACAACCCCGTCAGGCTTCCCACGAGATCCCATCAACCATCCGCGTGGCCGCACACCCGCAACCCAAGCACGGTGGCGGGATACACCGCCTGCAATTCGAGAACCACCCGCCCAGTTTTTGGACCGACGCCTGCCGCAGATGAGCGCAGGTGCTCGCATGTACTACCCCATGCCTGCACGGCGAACACTTCGAAACTCAGCCACGGACAATACACTGACCGAGTATCCCCCCAGCATCTGACATTTACCCCCGCCTCCAAAGCGCTCCAGAAACCCAAAAAAAAACGAAGCACACATGAGATTCGGACCCCCTACCAAGCCAGTTTGGACCGACGGCCATGACAAACTGCACGGTCCAGACACCCGCGCAGGGTCTCGATATCCAGGGTGACACACATGCTGTCCGAAGTGTCGACATCCTCCTGGACGGCCACTAGAGACCGGAATGCAGGCCCCCAAACCAGATCGTCACTCCTCTTTTTCCTCCTCTTCCTCCTCCTCGTCCTCCGTTGACCCTCCTCCGCCTGTTCCCCACCCCCCCAACCCCACCTCCTCCTCCTCCTCCTCCGCGTTCTCCTCTATAGCATTCCTCCTTCATCTGTTTCGCCCTCCCTCTCGCTCTCACCCCCTTTGGTCCTATTTTTACGGATCGTGGCACGGGAGCTCGCATGGGTATCAGTTGCACGCATTGCATTTCAGGGTGCTTTTTTTTGTCGCGCGCGACGTGGCGACTGACCACGGGGAAGGCAGACTTCGGCAATTTCTTTTGGCATTTGCCGCTGCGCTGATAGCCCTGCCAGCTGCGCGCCGTGAACCCGTCGGCAATGCAATCTGCGCCTGCAACTTTACTCTTCCTCGTGAAGTGTTTACTCTCCTGGTCGTCGCTGATGTGCTGCTGCCGAGCGAACTCCTTCGCGCATGCTGCGCACGCCAGCAGCCGCTTCAACCGCTTCGACTCCTCGGATACGCCTTTCGCAGCGATGACCCGCTTGTCACACCTTCCGCACACCACTCCGCTTCCTTTCTGCTTCCGGTGCTATTCCACTTGCCCCTCCCTCGAATGTTTTGCGCGCGCTTCTGGCAGAGCCCCCCCCGCTGTATTGCGCTTCTGCAGCGTTTCCAACATCGCCGCCGACTTCTCGAAAGCGACGAGCACGCGTCGTTCGACCACCGTGCTGTGCCGACGCGGTTGTTCCACATCGCATAGCCCATGCGCGGGTTCTTCCCGGCTTCAAACTCGTGCGCTTCGCGCAACATATGGTCCGAACCCTTCTCCACCTTTCGGCCTCGCCCGCTACGCCTCCGCCCATATCGGTGACTGCCCGCGTTCCCCCCTCCTCCTCCGCATTGCTCGCCCACCCGTTGCGCGCCTCGCAACACTTCTCATCCTTGCCCTTCACTTCCGCCGCGCATTCCTTACAGAGCGGTGGTCTCTCCTTTCTCTGGAACTCGCGTTTCGTAAGCGCCTCTACAAGCAGTCTCCGCCGGCACCGCTCGCACTGGTCTCGCGGCATCAGTTGCGCCTCCCACTCATCCCAATCCACGCCCTCCCCTCGGAGCACCCGCAACAGCATTTTCGCGCCGGCCGTCTCACGCTCTTTGTCCGGCTTCCCATCAAACGGCTGGACAATCGTGAGATTCTCTCGTCTGCGCACGCGCGCGATGGCAACGTTACTTGGCATCCAACTAACGCCGCGCCCTCTTTCAAAGTCCGCTATCGCAGCCCCAAGGTCCGACCCTGCGCTGCGAGCGCCGTCGCTGCCAAAGGCGGGGTGGTCATAAACTGCATGCGTTCCACATTCAATTCTGGATGCCTCCGAAACCCGTCCAGGAACCATTGCCACCTTTTCGATGGGAAGATCGGATAACCACCTGGCTCCCAGCCTGGCAGGTGCCACTCCTTCATATGATATTCCAATACAATTACATTCGGTGGTGGGAACAAGACTGCCTCGTCGTCTTCATCTCCCTGGACCTCGCCCCCGTGCAACACCCATCAATGGAGCGTCGCTGTGCGCCCCCGCACCAGCTGCTTCTTCGACCGACCCAAATGATCCTCCAAAGCTACAGGCATCCCGTTCGCCAGCGGCAACCGACCCGGCAAAGTTGCGCAAGCCTTGTCGTGGTACCCCAACCACCGTATTTTGTCCTCCACCGTGTACGGCCGCCTCTGTTCCCCACCATGGTTCGGGCGGTCTCTGGCTGCGACCCAAACCAGCTGTTCCCCTCGCTCCTTTGCCCACTGAACAGCTGTCTGCTTCCCGACGTGGCAGCGAATGTCCTGATTCGCATAGATGGCGTCGGCGTCGACGAATTTATCCCCGCGAAGTCACGCGTCTTCCGGCGACGTCGCGACGAGTTTTCTCCTCTCTCGCTCAATTTTGCACTCCTCACACTCTAGCTGGTTCCGCTTCGAAAATGCTTTTGCGCCAGTTACACAACGCGCGTTCCCGCACAACGGTGCACCGTTCACCCACGACCCCGGAACATGCTTCGAGGCGGCTGAGGGGTCCGCGCTGGAAGGCCCCGGGAATCGGCCCAGAGGTGGAGGGGAGAGTAAAGGCGAGGGTCATCAACATGGTCACCACCACCACCACCATCACCACCATCATCATCATCATCATCATCATCATCATCATCATCATCATCATCATCATCATCATCATCATCATCATCATCATCTTCATCATCATCACTCATCACCATCATCGTCCTCATCATCATCACCAAGACCATCACCATCATCACCGTCACTATCACCATCACCCATCACCACCACCATAGAAGCCGTCGAAAAAACAAAAAACAACATTAGGATATGGGGAAGAATGCGGAAACCTTGCCGAACCCAAAACCAAGATGGCCTCGAAGAAGACCAAGATCGCTCAATTTGGCTTCCACGACGACCCCAAGACCGCCAAGATGGCTCCAAGCCGGCCGGAGATGCCTTCCAGACGGCCCAAAAAAAACCCAAAACGCCCGTTGGGTTTCAATGTCTTCAATGTTCTCGCCTGTTCGGGCTTCCGAGGCTGCAGGGCGGCCCCTATCGGCCCCAAGACGGCACCAAAGGCCCTGAAGAGGCCCCCATGACGGGCCCCAAGACAGCTCCACGGACCTCCGAGATGAACCTAAAGCGCCCAGAGGAACCACGACTGCCCAGAGGGCCTCGAAAACGGCCTCCGAAACCTTAGAGGCCCCCAGATGCCCTCACAGATCTCTCAAGAGGCACCAGGAGCCTCCGAAGAGGCCCCTCAGAGGCCCCCGTCCTACTCCTCCACCGCCCGCTTCTGTTTTCCTGTTCCAGATGTCTTCCCTCTCGGGTTCCACAGTGGCTGGGAGAACACATAGTCGGTTGGACGGAGTGAACATGCGAGAGCAGCACCATACTTGCAAGCAGCACAAGAGGCCTTCCGACACCAGCATGTGAGAAGGGGTTTCCCGCCCACACAAACGCACGATCGTTACCGTCACCGGGGGGAGTGACGGTAACGATCATGGCCCAAGTAACGCCCGTCGCGCGCCAGCGGGAAACAAAACTACCCGCGTCCTCACGGGCGTCCACGGCGGCACCACAGAACAGAAGATGCCAGAACTCCGACAATGGGAGCGACGGAAAACAATAGGTTTCACGCGAGATGGCATAGCGACCTTACGCAGTGGCCTACGCGAAACGCCAGCGCGGCACGCCACATTGAACTAGGCGATCGAAATTGCATCCGTGCCCTTGTTCGCGCCCCGCTACCCATGAGAGGGGGGCGAGGGGGAATAGATAGAATCTGGGCGTCCAAGGCAACACTTTTTAACCGGAACCCTACTGCGCCAACCGCCCAGAATGAAAGCAGAAACGGTACCGATACCGTTACTCCCCGGACCTCCCCTAGGGTGCGTTCTGACCACGTAGAGAGTCCAGCCGTCGCAACGAGGGCTCCCCAGGACGAGCAGCGGTATTGGTATTTGTTCGTCCTCTGGCTGAGGCGACGGCGACGACGACGGCAGCAGCGATGACGGCAGCGATGATGACGGCGACAGCGACGCCGATGACTCGAAGCAAGGCGAATTCGGAGAACGGCAGCTCAAAATCGGTTCCAAGATACCTCATGGGGTCCACACTCACAAGTTTGCCGAGCAACGTCCAACCGAGCCGACGAGAGAGGCTCCCGAAGGCCAACTACCGTTGTCTCAACTCGCCCTCTTGTAACATCCCTCGAGCGTATCCTTATCCCTACGATTTGCAAGCCCAGACGCGATGAAAATCTTAGGGGTGCGCCATCAGGAACTAGATGGACGTGTGCGACGATGCTCTGCCCTATGGGCCGTCGACAAGCCCCAGGACCGTCAAACAACGACTCAACATGATAACCAGGCCCTACGAAAAATCCGCCATCGTGCCTGCACGATGTGGGCGTGTTAGAATGCCAAGTGCTGCTCTGTAGCGCGTTCTAATTCGGACCCCCCCCCACACACACATCTCTGCTACCACACTAACCCACGCATGCCCCGTCCCCGAGGCCACGAGCCCTCGCATTTTGTTAACATGGGAGCCGCGCTCCCGAGGCCACGATCCCTCGTTGGAAGTGTGTGCGTCCGCGTCCCGAGCTTCCAAGACAGCTCAGGCAGGCAACCAAGGCAACCAAGATGGCCCAAGATGCCTCGAGGCGGCCGACTATGGCCTGTAGACAGGCCAAGGTGCCACCACCCTCCCAGAATTTCAAATCCAAGCGCGCGCACGGATGGCGGAGAAAGACCGGCAATCTGACACGAACAAATGAGGCAGAACACGCGGTCGGACCAGCTGCGCGGACGGGCGAGCCAGAGCTCGCTGGGCCAGAGAGCTGGTCGAGCCCTGCTTGAACAAGCGCGGGCCTTCGAGGCCCGTGCGGGATGGGCCAAGCTCCGAGCCAACTCTGGCCACGGCGAGGCGGGAGCAACCCCGGGCAGACGAGGATAGACGGAACGCGACATCGTGGGCGACCCTCTGCTTCGGCGCCGCCGGCCTGCAGCGCCAGCTGCAGCGCCGCCCTGGTGCCAGGCAGCCGGCAGCGCCGCGCGCCAGCGTGCCGCAGTGCGCACAGCAACGAGGCGGCCAGCGCGCAGACGATTGGCGGGCTGACCTCGGCGCGGAGTGCCCTCCCAGGTCTGATCTGCGGGGGGGTCCAGCCGTCCGCTGGCGGGGCAAAGCGCACACTGTGGAGGTGCAACTGTGGATCACGAAGTGCGCGTGCGCAGACGTATTCCGATTCTTCGGAGCCTCGATGGACCCCTGGACGCCCTCGCATAGGGTCCCCCCTGGACCCCCGGGCCTCCTAAACGCCCCTACTGGGCCTAGCCAGCGGGCCCAAAAGCGGTCAGGGGGGTGGCCGGACAGCCCCGCGAGAGCCCCAAGCGGCCCCAGACACCCACCAGACGCCCAAAGACGGCACAAGAACACCCCCCGAGAGGCCCTCCGAAAGCAAAAAGCATTGGTTGTCCTATTCCTACGGCTTTTGTGCGATTGTTTGATACTCTGTTATTCTCTCTTCTGGGCGTCCGTCCGACAGTCGTCCCAGAACTACCGTAAAGGGCTAGAAGACAAAGCTCAAAGATGGCCCAACTGAACCCCAAGATGGCCCGACAACAGTCTCATCCCATGACGGCCCAAGGTGGCCCCAAGACGCCCCTCGAAGCACTCCAAATCGTGACCCAGTCGTTAAGGGAGAGCGTGGTTCGCAGCAAGATGGCCCGAGGAAGCCTCCAGAGGTCCCCCAAAGGCGGCGGGGAGGCCTCCAGAAGCCCCGAAGACGCCCCTGACAGGTTTCGTGCGGCCCCAAAGAGGTGTTCCAAGGAGGAGCCTCCGCCGAAAACGGTGACAACGAGTTAAAGCTGCTGTAATGACTTACCAACCCTCCTGTTTTGGGCTTTCGCTTTGAATTCAGCACTGCGGTCGCACACCCCTTTCTCCTTCTCTCCATCCTCCTGCCGCACTGCTTCTTCCCTCCTCCTGCTGTCTGCCTCCTCATCCTGTGCATCTCCCTGGGTGGCTGCGATCTGCGCAACTTGCGCCGCTGTCGTGGGCGCCGGAAGGGCACGGCGGAGTAGCGGAGTACGCGAGACCTCGCTGCTCCCTGGGTGGCTGCGAACTGCGCCACTGGCGGAACTTTCGTGGGCGCCTGAAGGGCACGGCGGAGTAGCGGAGTACTAAGTACCTCCCAGCTCCCTGGGTGGCAGCGAGCTGCGCAGCGCCACTTTCGTGGGCTCCTGAGAGGCACGCCGGAGTAGCGGAGTACGCGAAACCTCGCTGCTCCATGGGTGGCTGCGAACTGCGCAACTGGCGCCACGTTCGTGGGCTCCTGTGAGGCAGAATATGCGATACCTCGCAGCCCCCTGGGTGGCTGCGAACTGCGCAACTGGCGCCACTTGGCTCCTGAGAGGCACGGCGGGGTAGCGGAGTACGCGCACACAGCCGATACCTCGCTGCTCCCTGGGAGGCTGCGAACTTTGCAACTGTCGCAGCTTTCGTAATCATGCTCCTGGGAGGTCCAGCGGAGTCGGGGCCCACGCGCACCAAGCCGAGACCTCGCTGCTCCCTGGGTCGTTGCAAACTGCGCAATTGTCACCAATGTTGTGGGCTCCTGGGAGGTCCAGCGGAGTCGGGGGCCAGGCGGATCCAGCCCAGACCTGGTGGCTCCCTGGGAAGCTACGAAGTGCGCAAGTGGCACGAGGGAGAGACGGCGGAGATGAGGGCGGCGCGGGTAGTCCAGATTACCTGGCGATGTGTTCATGTGTATGGAGGGTTCATGCAAAGATTCGCATCGCGTGGAGAAGGGGTTGGGTACGTCTCGGGAAATTACTTCTCCCCAGTTCTGCCCACAGGCCGAAATTAGTGACTGACCAAAGTGCATGGCGCGAAACGCAAATCCAATCTTGAATGAGGGGCCGAACGGTCTTACGCCGTCCTTGGGTTAATGGCTGAAAAGGGATTCCGCGGCGCGGATTCTGCTTGCTGTTACCGTTGCTGCTGTTATGGTCGTCGTCCCACCCGAACGGTCATCCATTGTGCGGATTATGCTTGTTGTTGCTACGTTATTGTCGTCGTCCTCGCCCGCGACCCCCCCGCGACCCAAGCCGCGACCCACTAACGACCCACCCGCGACCAACCTGTAACCCGCACGCGACCCACCCGCGACCCACCCCGAACCCGCTCCACCCGCCCCCATCACTCTTATCCGCAATTAGGAGGTGCTGCGGGGGGGGAGCTGAGGGACGGTCGTGCCCTCTCTCCCTCCAAGGGGGCCCCCTTAGCTACCCCCACCCCTTGGACCTCCCCTGCCCGAAGCCCCCCACCCGCCTCCCCCCGTTTTTCCGCCCCTCGGAAGCTCCCCTCCCCTCCCCCCATTCCGCGCTCCAGAAGCTGACCCCCCTCCCTCACCCTTTCCATAAGGGCTTAGCTACCCCCCCCCTTCCCTTTGAACCCCTCTTGCCCGAAGCCCCCCCGCCTCCCCCCGTTTCTTCCGCCCTTCGGAAGCTCCCCCCCTGCCCCCTTTCGCGCTTCAGAAGCTACCCCCACTGCTGGAGGGCCCGCCGCTCCCCGCTTTTTGGCTAAAGAGAAGTGGGGGCTTGGACGCCCCCCCCCCGTTTGGCTAAAGGGTGAGGGCGCCGTAAACCAAAAGAGCGCCGAAAACCAACAGACCGCCGGAAACCAAAAGACCGCACCACAAATATTGCACAACATAGCTTGTACCACACATATAACACTACGTAGATTGCACCGCAGAGGTTGCCAAACCGAGATTGCACCACCTATATAGCACAACAGAGATTGCACCGCATATATTGCACAACAGATGCTGCACAATGTGCATTGCAACGCCTAGGTTGCAATACATGGCTTGCACCACATATAATGCCCCGCAAAAAGTTGCACAGCATCTATTGCTTGCCGCAACCTTTATAGGGTCCACGCTGGCCCACATAGGTGTATTTGTATGTGTTGTGTATTTGCGTATACATATATATATGTATATATATATATATGTGCACAGATGCGAATGTGTCGCGTATGTTTCATGTGGAACCCCCGTACCGCAGGACTCCCGAACACAGATGGGGGCATCCAGGCTGAAACCCGACAGACATTCCTCTGCATGTTCGGGCTTGATCGCTGCAAGGTCCAGGGGCATTGCCAGAGGGTGCTGTAATGAACAGGGTTGGCATACGATGTCGATCAGCTACAGATTGCAGCTGCAGGTCCCCGCACCATGCACAGAACTTGCATGCGTGGCGGCGCAAAGATCAGCCCTGAATGCTGCAGCGGGGAAGACACGAATAAGTAACTGTGGCGAATCGGGTGCAATTGCATTGACAGTGATGCACCTGCGCTCCGTCTGTCTATTCATCCTGAGAGCGAATGTCTTGCACACGGGCCCAAACGATGTGAAGGCTGCAGAAGACACTGACTCGCAACACCACGCATGACTCCATGTGCAAGCCATAGTACGTGACACCGTCGTGTGCTCACAGGCACAATGGCGATCTGGAGCCCATACGAGCACCGCCTCTGGCAAGTCTGAGGCTCATACCGCGTTGCCGATGAGTCGGTACCAAGCGCGGGGGCCTGGCAAGTCAAGCTAATGCACGATTGGAACTAGCAGGGAGGCGGAAAGAGTGACAGGGTCTTATGTCTGACCACGCTGTGACCTCGTTCAACTCGTTTATGTTTTTCGGGGGCGGGGAGGTGAGGACGAGGAAGAACACCAGGATCAGGATAACAACGAAGAAGTATAATGATGTGGAGGAACGACCTGACACCGTCTCTAGATGCTCGGCTGACATGTGGGTCCGCGGTGCGAATTCTTGTTCAAAACTGTCACTGTTGATGTCGTTCCACTCGCGACCCGACTCCGCTGGACCCACCAGCAGCCCTCGAAAGTGGCGACAATTTCGCAGATCGCAGGCCCCCCAGCCCCCCCCCCCCCAAGGGACGGCGAGGTCTCGTTCAGGTCTGCGCGGTGTCTCACTCCGCTGGACCCACCAGCAGCCCTCGAAAGTGACGACAATGTCGCAGATCGCAGCCCCCCAAGGGCGGCGAGGTCTCGCTCAGGTCTGCGCGGTGCCTCACTCCGCTGGACCCACCAGCAGCCCTCGAAAGTGGTGACAATTTCGCAGCCCCCAACCCCTCAGGGACGGCGAGGTCTCGCTCAGGCCTGCGCGGTGCCACACTCCGCTGGACCCACCAGCAGACCTCGAAAGTGGCGACGATGTCGCAGATCACAGCCCCCCAGGCACGGCGAGGTCTCGCTCAGGTCTGCGCGGTGCCTCACTCCGCTGGTCCCACCAGCAGCCCTCGAAAGTGGCGACAATTTCGCAGCCCCCAACCCCTCAGGGACGGCGAGGTCTCGCTCAGGCCTGCGCGGTGCCACACTCTGTTGGACCCCCCAACAGACCTCGAAAATGGCGACGATGTCGCAGATCACAGCCCCCCAGGGACGGCGAGGTCTCGCTCAGGTCTGCGCGGTACCTCACTCCGCTGGACCCACCAGCAGCCCTCGAAAATGTCGACAATTTTGCAGATCGCAGCCCCCCAGGAACGGCGAGGTCCCGCTCAGGTCTGCGCGGTGCCTCACTCCACTGGACCCACCAGCAGCCCTCGAAAGTGGCGCCAGTTTCGCAGATCGCAGCTTCCCCCCCAGGGACGGCGAGGTCTCGCGGGAGAGAGGCGGGAGGCAGGAGGCGGGAGGGGGGGCGGGAGGGCGCGACCGCACTGCTCCATTCGAAACGAATACCCAACCAAGGAGGGTGGGGAAAAATAGTTTCTGGAGCCGGGGAACATTTGTAATCGTTGCCTGGGACAGTAGGGTAGCGGGACCCCCCATGGACGTGTTCTATTCATTTGCTTGCATTACTGCCTCCCCAAAGGTCTGGACAGAGAAGGCAAGGAAACTTAGAACAACCAAGATGGCCCAAGGTGGTTCCAAGATTGCCATAGAAAGTTGAACGTGGACTCCCAGATGGGGCAAGATGGCCAACGTTCCCCAACGATAGCCCAATATGCCCCAAGATGGCTCTGGTAGGGAGTAAGCTTTGAATTCTTCCGAAAATTCAAAAAGGGGTCACCCTCCCATTTTTGATGATGGTTCCCGATGTTAGCCCAAGAAGGCCCTGAGAGGGCCCCAAGGATTCCAGAGCCCTTGCAGTAGAGACCAAAAGGCTTGTAGAAGGGCTGCAAGAGAATCCTGAGGGCACGTCCACAAGCCTTTAGAAGGCTCCCAGAGGTTCCCACATTGCTCGTTGCCGGGCGCTGCTCGTGCTAACCGACACACCGGCTATCCCTTCTGTCGTTATGGACAGACACGCCAGAATCCCAAAGCGTCCAGTCCTGCTCTTTGGAGCAGAATGTTTGAGCAGACTGGCGGGGGAACAACAAACACCTGACAAACACAAACTTTGTCATGTGTTTCGCGACGGTTCGTCGCCCAAGCTAATGAGGCTAGGCCTGGGTAGCGGCTCCTGCTGTAGTCTGAAGGCTGATATGGCGTTGACAAAACGAACATGAGATGCACTTCCTCACACATTCCCATCCTCTCAACCTGTTGCTCCCCCTCCAATCCTCCTCCCCGTCCGCCTCCTGGACCCCTCCCTTCTCCCTTCCACTGCCTCCCCCCGTCTCCTGCTATTACTGCTACTGCTCCCCTCACTCTGTAACCCCCCCCCCACACACATCTGTCCTGCCCATCCGTCATCCGTCCTCTGTCCCCCGCCCGCCCCTGCCTCCGCCCTCCCCTGCCCCCTGCCCTCGGGGCGCTGGTGGCCGTCGCAAGCGGCGTAGCTGAAGGTCTCCGGGAAGCCCTGCAGCCGGGCGCATTCACGGCGGCTGAGGCGTCGTGGCCGCGAGAGGTCACCGGCGGGGGCGCCCTCTGGCGGCACCAGCTGCGTGTACCTGCGGGCGGCCCCTTCCTGCCTGTCAGGCTCGGCGCGGGCGGGTCGGCCCGTGGCTCCGCTGCTGTTCTTCGCTCAATGGTCAGCTCCTCCGCTGCTGCTCTTATCCCTCTTCCCTCCGCACCGGCAAACTCACACTATCTGCTCTCTGAGTACCAGCTTGTGCGCAGCTGGCGGCGGCGGTGGAGGCCCAGAGGCTTCCGAAACATGAACAGTTGAGGTTCTGGCCGCCATCTTCTGGAAGGTGCTTCTCGGGCCCCCGTGGGGTCCTTTTGGATCGTTTTGGCGCCCTCATCGGTTGCAGAAGGATATCATCACCAGGCTCGGCGTCTGTGCAAATTCGGCGCCCCCCCTGCCTGGGGGGGAGTGGGGGCGGGATGGGGCGACAAATCACGGGCTCACGGGGGGCAAAAGCGAAATGGGGGAAGGACGGAGGTTCATATCAGGGTTCATCGGTGGATGGATGGATGAATGGATGGACGGGTCACCACGGAAAGGGACTTGGGAACCTTACAGTGATTGAGATAGCAATTGATTACATAACGTCGGACAAAAATGTTCATTCCCAATACAGGGACATGAATCAAGACAACTGTGGAGTCGGACTAAAATTCGGATTCGGGTGAGTAGCAATTCGGATGTGAAACTAGACTCGGCTTCAATCTTGGATTCTTCTGAGCACTCGGATCCCAATTCCGAAATGGATTCTGGTTCGCATTCGGACTCGGAATCGGATTCAGACTTGATCTCGCGCTTTGAGTCAGAGCCTTCACCCCCTCTCGTGTTTTACCCTCACGGCCTCAACACATGAGCCTCCGAGGACTAAAGCACACTGCACCTGTAGGAAACACGACATTCTAAAAGCTAAGATAGACGGACAGACGACAGTGGAAGACCGCCACAGCCAAGGCTCGACCTCCGTGGCGGGGGCGAGCACCGAATCGGCTGAAAGATGGGTATGTCCACTCTAGACAGACAAGGACAGGCGAAGACGATACAAGCTGGATGACAGACTGCTTCTCGCCACCCGAGGGGCAGAGACAGGCTGACACGACCCCGCAATGGCGGCAAACATACAGAACAACGCCCCCCCCCTCCCCACACTAACTTTCGGAAACCCCTCCAGAAGCAGTTTCTCCGAAGTTGGTGGGGGTGGGGAGCTGCCTTGGCGACCACGAATTTGGTCCGCACCGAGGAATGGATACCAGTCCAGGAAGGTAGCCGGCGACGGGGCGAGAGCGCGATCCCGGGAGAGGATGGTATAATGTGCTCGACGCCGAGAAGGGAGCCCCACTTCCGCGCCAGGTCCGTGGCCGGCCTTCTGGCGGCAGCGGCATTCCGAGGCAGTGCCACGGCGGACGCCAGTGAGCGAGAGGACCTCTGAGAGGCCACAGACATCGTGAAGCGGAGTCCCTCACAAAAGATGCTCGCGTCAAGGCGTCCGGGATCCGGGAGGGGGGTCGTCAGGCACCATGGGGCCCCAGGAGTCAGAAGGTACGACTCCTCTCCATCGATCGACTTCCAACATGACCTGACTGGCGGTACGACGTCGCGGAGTGCACCCTCCACTCTGGAATCCCCTGCCGGAACACAAAGCGCGGTCGACAGTGGTAATGAGGGGGCCCGCACAGTCACTTACTTACGAGCCCCCAGCGCCATGGACGGCTTAGGAGGTTGGAGCCTGCCAAGATTACGACAACGATGGGCTCCCCTGGCATTTCGAATCCCACTAGCCCTTTGGGCGTGAGTGATTTAAAGCGCTTCCTCTTCCAACTGCCCTTCTTCCCCTCCTGGGAGGGATTTAGAAAAGTAACCTATTAATAAGCATAACCCCTCTCAAGCGACAGCCAGCCAACCAGGACCAATGACCCCCCCTCCCTGTCAAAAACAATACAAAATACACTTTGGGGCAAAACCGTGGGTCATGCTCGTGGGCCCCGCGCACATGTTGTATGTTTTGTTAACAGAAACGGCGTGGGTGTCCTCATATTGCCTTCTTTGCGCAAGGCCTCCACCCACGTTCAAAAAATAATGCAAAATGCGTTCCGCTGCAAAAGTTTTATCATGCGCTGCCACCCCGCGATCACTGTTCATTCGTTTTTGGCAAGGATAGCGGGGGTGCTGGCATCTTGCCTGCATTGTGCAGGCCCGTCAGACACCATGATGGTCTCACCGCCGCGATTGTGCAGTGGTTTTCGACGAGGATGGTGGAGTCCGAGATGTTTCAGGATGTTTTTTCCTGGAAGAAAACGAAGAAGAAGGAGGGGCAAGAGGGAGGGGACGACCGCACCATCTCTCGAGTAACCCGTGCACTCCGTGGTGATACGCGGCAGAAACTGACCAGTGGCTTTATTTTCAGCAACGTCACAGCAGTAAAAAAGCACTGGCAAGAAGAGGAGACAGGGGAGGACGCGGGGAACGAATTAGAAAATGTACTATGATGAATGTACGAGCGCACGCCATTACGCGTGTTTCGACCTCGCTGCGCAGAGCCCCCCGTTTCAGGATGTGTGCCGTCACGTGCGCGGGCGCACCTGGCACACTCTGTGCGTGCCCCGAACGTGGCGCACCGGTCGCGGCTGGAGCATGTGGCACACAAAGCGCACGTGGAGCACGTGGCGCATCTGGCGTGCGTTGCGTGCCTGGCAGGCGTGGCGCACCTCGCTCTGGCGTCGGGTACGTGGGGTGTATTTGGGTTTCCAGTACTTCAGCCATAGACGACCACTGAACATGCTGAGGCCCGGGTGCTTCTTTTGTGTTGGGAGGGCGGGTGAACGTGGGCGAGACAGGTTGCTGGCGGGAAGTGACTTCATCCCTCCCCCCTACCCCCTCCCCTCGACCTGGATGGGGGAGGGGGGGTCGCGACCAATTGAAGCGTTCAGGACGGCCTCGGCGAGAAGGCAATGGTCGTTGAATTGACTTTACGTGTTGGGCCAAGTTTGGCCTCCTGGAGGGGGTCCTAATCAACCCCACCCCCTTCTTTGATCGATCTCATCCACCATGGTCCCAAGATGGCCCCCAAGGCTCCCAAGAATGCCCCCAGAGGCGTCTAGAAAGCCCCAAGAGGCCCTCGAGAGGCCCCAAGAGGCTCCCCCGAGGCACCCGAGACGCCCCCGAGAGGCCCCCACGGCCGCCAAGAGGCCCTCAAGACGCCCCAATAAGATTCCAAGAAGCTTTCAAGAGACACACGAAGAGGACTCCGAGCATCACCCAGGAGTCTTCTGGCCATGCTGCTCGCCCTCCACCTCCTGCTCCTCCTCCTCCTCATCCTCCTCCTCCGCCTGTTCCTCTTCTTCCGTCCTCCCTTTGCCCCCTCCCCCTACCCCTCCCTCCCTCCGCCTCCTCCTCCTCCTCCTCATCCTCCTCCTCATCCTTCTCATCCTCCTCATCCGATTCCTGCTCGACCCTCCCCTTCTTGGGGTACGAAGGCTGCCCGAGCCAATTCTTCCATGGCAAAGCGCCTGGGCATCGTTTCTGAGGTGGCTGGTGGGGTCCCGAAGCGTCTAGAATTTATCAAGGACGCTCCTACCCTAAAACGATGTCCTGCCATACGGGCTGGAGATGACGGCGGGGAAACAACTGGAAAGAAGCGAACTAGGGACTGGAGCGCATGGGGACCGAGGGAGCGCTGGGCCAGCAGCAGCGGAGAGGGGCGGACAGCGGGGCGCATTCGGGGAGGAAGTAGGGAGATGCAGGCGACGAGGGAGGGATGAGAACACCTGGAGGGGATCTGATGAAGGCAGGATCTCACTTCCCCCGGGGTCCTTGAGAAAGAGCCGCTGCCGCCCTGCCCGTAGGACGCCACCAGGGGGGCCGCAGGGGCGTCGAGGCAGCCGAGGATGTCCTCCGGCGCTTCGTGGAATGCCCTCGGCGGGGAGGAGAATGCGCCGCGGAATCGGATAGCTAGGCCTGGAAACCGTGACACACTGGCTTGAACTTATCGAACGGAGGGGCGCAATTTCACTTCCACTGGCTTCCGACGGGCCTCCGCATGTGACCGCCAGCGAAGCCGCCCTCTGTCTAGTTACTTCAGTCGGCTGCGGCGGACACTTCGCAGGCCTCCGCCGAGGAGGAGAAGTCACTCCGTACTTCTAGGGAACATGCCCTCAATTTCCCGAGTGCGCAGGACACTCCGAGGGGAGTCCAGACCTTCAGCAGCCTTCAATCAAGACGCTGTCTTACCGACGCTTCAACGACACCCGCCCGCATGTCAGACACGGCCCGTTTGGCGTGCGGCGTTCAAAAATATGTCCCTGCAACGGTCGCCGTTGCCTGTGGAAACCCAAAGGTGGCACTTTTTCTGCGGTCCCACACGGCGACGACGAGCGACGGCGGCTCTTTTTTCCCTGACCAGTCCCCCGACAAGTCTGAACCGGGGAACCTGAGGGGTCCAGGCTCGACGCCGCCGCAGGGCAGCACGCGAACTCTCCGAAGGGCATTCGAAATGTTTCCCTCTCTCATTCGACTCCCGCCTTCAAATGTGGCTACTGCTCGCGTGCGCACGGCGTTCGTATTTGCGCTTCAGCCAGCTCAGAGACTCTAGGCTCGACAGGGCTGGAGTGGCATCTGGGCAATGTCGCGATGGCGGCGGCCCAGAGTAATATGCTCGGCGAAGCTCGACGACGACAGTTGCCCGATGATGAAACTTCAGAAAGTCGCTAGACTGCTTCATATATGCCATCTGTCGGGGGGCGAAGAACACATTTAGAAATAACACTCAGTGCGATCAAGGTTTGGGGCAACGGCCCCAGGACTGTAATTGGCACGCGGCGCAGACAAGGGCGGCCAACATTTCGAATCCACGCTCGCCTGCGTCCGTGGGAAGATATCCGACCTGAGACGGTTCTGCAAACGCCGAAGCTTACCAAAGGTCGCGCCGCCGAACAGAACACTCTGCGAGAGGCACGGCTGTCCAGCGCGAACTCAGTATGTGCTCTGTGGGCAAGATGTGCGGCGCTGGCTGCGCCAACGCGCACCGCCAGGTCATCCTAGGAGCAAAGCCCGATGGACATCTTATGATTGACCTCTGGGCTGTACTCTTGCCGGCTGAAAGCCTGCACTGGCGCACGGCATTCTTCATGCTCGCGCGAGTTGCGAACACCATCCGTCCGCACGAGGGCCCACAGAAGCGGAGACACGCAACGAACATGTCACGAATTGTGGCCCGCAGATTGTATTAAGTAATAGTGGGCATCCGCCGCGACGGTCTGGACGGTCACGCGGCGGGGGGAGGAAGAACAGGAGGACAGAGGAGAGGGAGGAACACACAACAACTGGAGAGCATGCAACAACTGCAATGCATCCGCCCCCGGCTGCATTCGCGAAAACCGAGCATTAAGTAACATGTCCTCGGCGCATTAGCACGAGGACCGATGCGAACCCACCCCAAATATCGCAGCAGTGAAACCGCGTGGAAATGAAGAGGCGAGCAGAATACTCAAACTCACTCGAATGAACAGCGGCTGCGAGTCCATGGCGCCACCATCGGCGCGAAAAGGGCTGCGAGCGCAGCGAGCAACTGAACATAGGAACGGCGAGAATGGCACATGCAGCATGCACGAGCGGAGGGGGAAGGGCCAAGGGGGAGGAGGAGGAGGGCGAAGGGAGGGGGGAAGGGAAATGGCGACGAACCAGCACAACGAAGTCAACCACGCGTTTCCTGCCAAGCCGCGGCTACTATGGCAACCACCGTCGGGTGAGCGGCGCACGCCTCGAGGCCATACTACCACCAGAAAAAGGCCGCGTCCGCTGTAGTGCGGCGCCGCGCCGCGCAGGAGGCACACTATGTACAATATGCCGCCAGGGCGCGGGGAGCTAACAAAGGGGCCGCGCCCTGTGCAAAAAAAAAGCTCCGTAGCAACAAAACACCAGAGACCAGCAGCCGCGGCGGGTCGGAGTAGACCTAGCTCCGCCAGGCGAGGCACTGCAAAGTGTGCTGTAGGCTCTCTTCTCCTCGCGGAGACCCGAAGCGGCAAGGTGCCCAGCGCCCTAAGCGGCGGGCAGTCTGCCAGCTGTCACACATGGCACTGTACAGCGCTGTCCAGGCCCTGGTGGGCACGGCTGGCGCAAGTCCGCGCAGGGCCTTCACTGCACCAAGTAACCGACGTCCTTGAAATAGGTGGATGAGAAGGCGAGAAAGAGAGCGAGAGAACGCCCGCGTGGTGCGCACCGGGTTCGGCTGCATCAGGAGCTGGCGGCAGCGCCGTTGCCATAGTGATCGGGGCGCTGGCGTCGTAGAGGCGCACTGGACCAGCATAGCGGCCGAGAACCCAGCCCTGGCGGCAAGAGCTTCGAGGCGGGCATGCGCACCCGGCAAGTTCTCAATGAAATTACGTGTGTATCACTCGTGCCACGTGGCCACCTTGTGAATCTTGTCCGGGCGTGTAATCTTGTCCAGCGACACGCGACGCCGGCGTGGGATCTGCAAGCCCCCAGCGGCGCCAGTTTCCCAATCCTGCACTTCGCTGCGAGGGCGTCGGTGCGTGCATCGAGGAGCTGCGATGGGAATCCCAATGAATATACATGGCGCAAGGTGGCAGGCGAGGTCCAGCAGCGCGGCCCCAGGAACCGCAGGGTGCCCACCCACTCAAGCACGGCCCAATCAGGCGGCAGCCGAGCCAGCCGCATGACAAAGCAGAGAACGGGGAGGACGTAGACGCGGCCCGCGAGGATGGTGATGAGCACTCCTCCCCCCCACGGCTCGCCATGGCTGTGCTCGTGAATACTATTTCCGCACTGGCTTCGCCCAAAATGATTGCCCGCGCTCGGCCCCCACCTCGAAGCCCATGTACGCAGCGTGGCGGCGCACGGCGAACTCCCCCCAGGCGGGGGCAGCGGCCTGCAGGCGAGCTCGGACCACATCCGCTGGAATCAAGAAAAAAGGGCACTCATACACGTCTCCACTGGCGTAACCGTAGGCGCACTAGTTAGAGTCTGGCACCAAGCGGGGCAGCCGACGTAGCAAGACGTCTGGGAGCACGCCAAACAGTTAGGTGAAATAGGGCGGCCCTGCCAAACCCCCGCAGTGAGTTCGAAGCCGTCGGACTCGGCACTCTGGACTGCGAGCTGGCACCAGTTGGGCTGGTACTAGACCTGTGCCAAGGTGACGCACCAATCCGACAAGCCACGGGCCACCAGCACGTCCATGAGAAATCCCTGGCCCACGCCGGGAGAAGGCCTCGAAGTCGAAAACTATGGCCGCCGCGTCCTCGTACTCCAAAGAGACATGCAGCATGGTCTCGTCGGTGTCCACCAGGTTCGCCAACATAGAGCGACCCTGTGAGAAACTGCGTTGGGACCCTGAAGTTCTCGGACCGACCGCAAGTTCGACCCGGCCCGCTAGCTCACCGCAGTGGCGATGATCCTGTTGCCCACGTTGGTGATGTTGAAGGGCCTCGTGTTGGATGGCATGTAGACCTCCGCGCCGTCTGGGGTCGAGCCACTGGGCTTCTTCGGTAGGAGTATCATCACTGAAATCGCCCCAGTCCATCCCCATGAAGCTTAACGCCGTCGGCGCGCACCATGGCCAGAAAGCGTCGTGCAAAGTCTCCAGAGCGCGGGCGGCGAACTCGCACAACTTCCGCCACGCTCTGAACGGAATGCCATCGGAGCCTGTGGAGTTGCTCTTGGAGTGTCGGATGGCGCGTTGGAAGCACTCGAACGGAACGACCTCACCAGGCGCGTGCTGCCGATCTGCTGCTGGGGGAAGTGCGCCACTTCGTCCGCGAGCCACTCCTGCCGCAGCGTCTGGTCGGTGCCCTTGCGGCTGAAGACTCGCGACCAATGGCTCTGGAGAGCCTGTGCGATGTGGGAGGGTTTGGTGCTGACGTGGCCAGCACTGCCGCTGATGGCGTAGTTGGTGCACCCCCGGCCAGGATCGAGACGCATAAATAGACGGTGGTGGTGCCGCCGACGTCGGGAAACCTGGTCTGGCGTGAGGTCACGCAGATCGTCGTGCAAGTTGCTGAGCTCGTCGATGGTTTGGGAGTGGGCCGAATCAACGGCATGCCTTCGGATCAGCCCCAAACGGCGGCCTGGATTGGAGGTAAGGTCGTAAGGATTGTCGACTAGATCTTTGCAGGATGGGGTACTGGAGGATGCACTGGCTCACGCCCGTAGCGGCACCGCGCTCTGACGATCGGAGGAGCTTCGTTGTCACTCAAAGCCTATCATCAAGCGTGCAGGCGTCCGCGGCGGCACCGAGGTTGAGGTTCAGGCTGCGGGCAGCTCAGCGCTGGCGGTCTTCAGGAACATCAGCTGTCTTAGCGCAGGCGCGCCAGGCTCGTCCTTCAGCAATTCCTGCCACACCAACGAGACCAACCGCGGCCATTTTAGGTTCTCAACAACCTGATCTGGAAGTGGCGCACGCGTGTCCGACATGCGCCGGGGGGCCTCCCGCCGAAAGCTGATTGCCTGGTGCCTGGCGAGCGCAGCACACAGCATCGCCTTATCGAGGCCAAAGAGGCCCCCAATCGGGACCCATACCGGCCCAAGAGGGCACCAATATGGCCCCAGAGGCGCCCAAAACAGCCTAAGCGGGCCCAGAGACGGCTCCAGGCCCAAATCGGGGACCCAAACGGACGTTTCGAGTTTTCGGCCCCGAGGGGCCCTCAGGAGGCCCTCGGTGGGCCCCAAAAGGCACCCGAGAGGTCCCCACAAGGCCCCAAGAGGTCTCCAGGGGGCCCCAAGAGGCCCCCCAAAAAATGGAAAAAGGCCTCCAAGAGGCACCGAAACAGCTCCCAAGAAGCCCCCGGGAGCGCCCCGACAAGACCTCATGAAGCATCCCTGAGAATTCCGACCAACATCCAGGCACGGTGGCGGGGTGGGTTGAAGGCCATTCTATATACCAATACCTATACGACCACCC